ACCACCCAAACCCCCCTGAGGGGGCCCCCAAATACAGGGGGACCCCCAAACCCCTCCAGCCCCCCCCCTAACGCACCCCCCTTTCTCTCCCGCAGCCCCCCAAGCGCCGCCCCCCTCCCAGCACCAACGGCACCACCCCCCACAAACAGCCCAAGCCCCCCCGGTCCCCCCGGGCCTCAGGGACCCCCCAGGCCCCCCCCGGCCCCCCCCAGAGCCCCGGGGGTCCCGTGCTGGGGGGGGTGGTGCTGGTGCTGAGCGGGTTCCAGAACCCTCTGAGGGGCCAGATCCGCGCGGCCGCCGTGGCCTTGGGGGCCCAGTACCGGCCCGACTGGACCCCCGACAGCACCCACCTGGTGTAAGGGACCCCCCCGACCTCCCCCAGCCCCCCCCCACTGCCCAGGTGACCCCCCCTGACCCCGCCCCTCCCTCACACAGGTGCGCCTTCCCCAGGACCCCCAAGGCCACCCAGGCCCGGCAGCTCGGGGGGGTCGTGGTGGGGCCCGACTGGATCTGGGACTGCCAGAGGGAGCAGAGGAGGCTGCCCTGCGGCCCGTAAGGGACACCTGGGGACACCTGGGGACACACCTGGGGACAGGGACACACCTGGGGGGACACACCTGGGTACACCTGGAGACAAGGACACAGATGCGGGGACACACCTGTACCTGGTGGGGATGCCCCCACACCTGGGTACTTGGACACAGGGTGGGTCACGGGGTGGGTGGAAGGCAGGGGGAGGTTGTGGACGCTTGGGAGGGGTAAAATGAGGACACACCCATGGTGGGCGTGGCCTCCATGTCCCTCCCCCCTCAGGTACCTCCTGGATGGCTCCGCCTCCTCGGGCAGTGAAGAGGAGGAGGAGGAGCCTGAGGATGCCCCACCCCCTCCACGGCCCCGCCCATCCCCCAACGCAAAAAAGATGGCGGGGGCACCTCCTGCTCCTCCCCCACCCGCCACAGCCCCGGCCACGCCCCCTGAGTCCAGTGACAGTGACAGCCAATCGGAGGAGTGAGTTTATTTGGGGCGCTGGGGGAGGGGTGAGGTCATAATTGCCACGCCCACCTGACCCCTCCCCCACCCCAGGGACGACCCCTATGGAGGCTCCACCGAGGAGAACAGCGAGGAGGAGGAGGAGGGGCCCGAGGAGCCCATCCCCCCCCTGCCCGGTGGGTGCCCTTCCCCCCACCCCTGGCACCCCCACGGGACCCCCCAATTTCTGACCCCCCCCCTCTCCCCCCACAGACTTTTTTGAGGACAAAACCTTCTTCCTGCACGGGGAGTTCCCGGAGGGGGAGGGGCGGCGGCTGAGACGGCTCGTGATCGCCTTCGGAGGGTCAGACTGGGGGCACTGGGGGGCACTGGGAGGGGTTCAGGGGCTACTGGGAGGGATTGGGGGGAGTCTGTTGGAGTTATACTGGTTTGTTCCGAAGTGGGGAGTTCATAGGGGTCCGTGTGGGTCAGTACTGGTCTGTACTGGTCCATACTGGTCCACCCTGCTCCACACAGCACTCTGTCCCCCTCCCTGGATGACTCGGTGACCCACGTGGTGACAGCCCAGGACTGGGACCCCGCCCTCGAGGAGGTGGGTCCTGGGGAGATGTTGAGGTGGGCGGGGCCTTCCAGGAGGTGGGTGTGGCCACTGCGTGTGGGGGTGGGGCCTCTCCCCTTGGCCCTGCCCCTAACCTTTGGCTCCACCCTCAGGCACTGGAGCTCCGCCCCTCGCTGACCTTCGTGCGCCCCCATTGGCTGGAGCTGTGCGGGGAGCGGCAGCGCCCCCTGCCGGCTGCGCCCTTCACCATCGGACCCCGCGCGTGATGTCATCAGGGTGACGTTGTCGCAGCTCCTCCTCCACTTTATACCCCCCCCTCACCCTATTCCAAGGGGAATTAAACTGATTTTGGGTAAAATAATCTGGTGTTGGGTCAGTAGAGTGTCGCCCTTTTAAAGAGGTCCCCCCTCAAAAGTTGCCCCTTTAACGAGGACCCCACCCCGATGTTACTCCTTTAAGTAAGATCCGCAATTTCCGACATTGCTCCTTTAAGGGGAACCCTCATTTATGTGTTGCCCCTTTAAGGAAGACCCCCAATTTCAGACATTGCTCCTTTAAGGAGAGCCCTCATTTACGTGTTGCCCCTTTAAGGAGGTCGCACTTCAGGCATTGCCCCTTTAATAACCGTAGTCGCTAATCGTGGCCCCTCCCGATGACGTTGCCCCTTTAAGGGCATTGCCCCTTTAAGTTTTTATCGCTTTAGGCCCCTCCCCGCCCAGCTCTTAAAGCGGCCGCTCCCCCGGGTGGGCCCCACCACCGCCATGTTGCTCCGCCGGGTCCCGGCTGCTGCTGTCGCGATAGGCCGTGGGCTCGTGACAGGGCCCCGACAGAAGCGGCAGCTGCTGATGCGGCAGGTGGGGAGGGAGGGGGCTCAGGAATGGTGTTTTCTGAGGCGGGAGAACAGAGAGCAGGGTCAATTGGGCCCCTTGGGTCAAGGAGGGGGCAAAGGTCACGGGGCGCTACCTGGATACGGGGTGGGGGAGAGGCGAGGGTTTT